AGTTTGGGCCTCAAACCCCAGTCAATTACATGGGAGTCCAGCGACATAGCCATTACACTAACTGCTGGTCCCATGTATACAAACAAACTTAAAAAAAAAAAAAAAAAAAAAACTCTAAGAACACCTACAGTAATAATAATGATAATGATAATAATGATAAATAATTCAGTTTTCAGAAGCCAAAGTTCCAAAGTTATAAAACTTCCTAGCGTAGATCCTGTGGGTCACCGACACATGTAAATAGTCAATACAGTAAATGTTAGTTCCATTAACAACCTGATGATGTCTAACAATTTAAGAATGACTTTCTTCTCCAGCTATCTTGCAAGTTCTTCAAGGATACGCTCTGTAGTACATTTCGTAAAAGCCTTTTAACACACATAATGTACTTTCTCCTATGAACTCACTATTAGAAATTTTACAAGTACCAGCTCTATGAGTGCATGGGTGAATGAATAAACACTCAGTGAGCATGGAGTGTGCTGTTGTCCTAGCTACCCTCCCGCACCTACACTATCCTCCAACACTCCTACACAAACATGCACTCAGAGTGAGACAAGGAAGTGGGTTTTCCCAATGTAAGACACACATTGCATCATAAAAATAGCTTAGTATACAAAATTCAACTTTTGCAAGAAGCTTTGAGAACATGCAACTGTCCTATGTAATGAGAAAAAAACATCTTCTATTTCCTGGCTCCCTCAAATCATTGTGTTATGATTCTTTAGATCAAAATCTCTACTCCTTGGGATCAGCAGATGGTGTAATGGTTATGTCACTGGACTCCCATATAGTCAACCACGGTTTGTGTCCTGGACCTGTTGACTTAAAACTCACACCAGGCAGGCCCAGCAGTTAGCGTAATGGCTATGTCGCTGGACTCCCATGTAGTCGACCATGGTTCGCGTCCTGGACCCGGTGGCTTAAAACTCACGCCAGGCACATGTGCATGTGTGCCCAAGATCCCGGGAGGAGAATGGAGGAGAAAGGAATGCGGTGTGGTCATACCCCCTGGGGGGTGATTTCTTGCTTTCTGTCTCTCTGTCTCTCTCTGTCTGGTGAGCACACACACCCTATAGCAAAAACCTCTAAATAAAAAAAATTTAAAAAAAAGAAAAACCTCACACCAGGCATGTGTGCATGTATGCCCAAAATCCTGAGAGGAGAATGGAGGAGAAGGGATTGTGGCATGGCCATCCTCCCAGGAGGTGACTTCTCATTTTCTGTCTGTTTCTCTTCTCTCTGGCAACTGCACATGCCCTATAGCAAAACTCTCTCAAAAAAAAAAAAAAAAAAAAAAGAAAGAAAGAAAGAAAAAGTCTCTACTTCTCTCTGTAAAAAAAAAATTTATTCTCAGAATATCTGTAAATTCATATTTGGCCTTTACTTTTATAGAGCCAAATAGTTAAACTGAAAAAGAAAGCAAATCCACAAGCAAATGAACAAAAAGGCTGACTTCATATCTAGTTTTAACTTTCCATTGCTACTTGTAATGAAAAATCTTTGGCTAGAGTTTCCTAAAATAGGATCTAAAGATGGCCAAATACAGAGATATACAGGTAATGAAGAAGTACACTTGATGGTAAGAGGTTACTAGGGAAGGGGGAAGATAGTCTTTCAGGACCTTGCTTTATTGGGGGGCAGGGGGAGACAGGAATTAACAGAAAAGGGATCTGTTTCTATAAGAAGAGAAAAATGAGGCAGCACTATCGTTCTGTTAAAAAAAAAAACTATTTTTAAAATTTACATTAAATCACTGTGTATCTTTACAGCATACAAATGGTTTTTCCTACTATGAATACAGTGTATATTTGTCAAGTCACAGATATTTCTATGTAAATAATCATCAACAGATAACTTCATTTTTGTTTCTGTTAAAGTTCTTTTTCCCCTGATCCCCTCCCTCCAACTCCCTATTACTCACCCCGTCCTATACCATCTCTATTATCTTCAGTTACCCTCCCTGCTATTATACCCTCCAATCTTCCAGTTTCTGCCATACAGTGCAGACATTCAGAATCTATTCATCAGGGACATACAACGCCTGTCTTTCATAGCCTGGCTCCCTTCACATAGCAATAAATCTTCCATATCTATCGCTTTGTATCAACTATCAGGGTCTCATTGTTCTTTATGGCTGAGTAGTATTCCATAGTATATATTTGCCACATTTTTTTAAAAATCCATTTATCTGTTGTTGGATATCCAAGCTGATGTCTTAATAATTGTGAATAATGCTACAATAAACATAGATGTGCAAGTGGTTTTCCAACTGAGTGTTTTCCTTTCCTTTGGGTAGATACACAGGAGTGGAATTACTGGGTCATATGGTAGATCTATTTGTAAATTTTCAGGGAACCTCCCTATTGTTCTCCATAGTGGCTATGCCAATTTACATTCCCACCAACAGCGTAGAAGGGCTCCCTTTTCACCACAGCCTCATCAGCATTTATTATTCTATATTTTTAAAATCTTAGTCATTCTGATTGGGTTTAAATGGTAACTCATTGTGGTTTTGATTTGCATTTCCCTTATGATAAGAGATGGTGAGCATTTTTTCATATGCTTTTTGGCAGTTCATCTGTCTTCCTTGGAGAATTGTCTGTTCAGCTCATTTGCCCATTTTAATGCAACACTATATGCACATTCACTTTTTTTTTCTTGAGATGCTATTTCAGAAGCTACTATATCTATTTTTCATTCTTTCTTCCTCTTGAATAGCCATTGGACCTGCTCAGGAGGAAAATTATGAGCATTCAGCCACAGCCAGGGGCACAAAGCTTTGCAGGTCTCTCCTTGGGAACCAAGGTACCTGAGAATGGCAGCCCCAAAGGCAGGAAGCTGGCAAGTGCACAGAAGCCTCGGGGCCAGTGAGTGGCTGTTTATAGACATTCCAAAAGTGCCAATCTCCCTGGTTCAATTAAGTTATGTATACCCTCCAATCTTCCAGTTTCTGCCATACAGTGCAGACATTCAGAATCTATTCATCAGGGACATACAACGCCTGTCTTTCATAGCCTGGCTCCCTTCACATAGCAATAAATCTTCCATATCTATCGCTTTGTATCAACTATCAGGGTCTCATTGTTCTTTATGGCTGAGTAGTATTCCATAGTATATATTTGCCACATTTTTTTAAAAATCCATTTATCTGTTGTTGGATATCCAAGCTGATGTCTTAATAATTGTGAATAATGCTACAATAAACATAGATGTGCAAGTGGTTTTCCAACTGAGTGTTTTCCTTTCCTTTGGGTAGATACACAGGAGTGGAATTACTGGGTCATATGGTAGATCTATTTGTAAATTTTCAGGGAACCTCCCTATTGTTCTCCATAGTGGCTATGCCAATTTACATTCCCACCAACAGCGTAGAAGGGCTCCCTTTTCACCACAGCCTCATCAGCATTTATTATTCTATATTTTTAAAATCTTAGTCATTCTGATTGGGTTTAAATGGTAACTCATTGTGGTTTTGATTTGCATTTCCCTTATGATAAGAGATGGTGAGCATTTTTTCATATGCTTTTTGGCAGTTCATCTGTCTTCCTTGGAGAATTGTCTGTTCAGCTCATTTGCCCATTTTAATGCAACACTATATGCACATTCACTTTTTTTTTCTTGAGATGCTATTTCAGAAGCTACTATATCTATTTTTCATTCTTTCTTCCTCTTGAATAGCCATTGGACCTGCTCAGGAGGAAAATTATGAGCATTCAGCCACAGCCAGGGGCACAAAGCTTTGCAGGTCTCTCCTTGGGAACCAAGGTACCTGAGAATGGCAGCCCCAAAGGCAGGAAGCTGGCAAGTGCACAGAAGCCTCGGGGCCAGTGAGTGGCTGTTTATAGACATTCCAAAAGTGCCAATCTCCCTGGTTCAATTAAGTTATGTAAAAGCTTAAAATATAAAATAGAAATGTGTTGAAATGTGAATAAAATTATCTAAATTTCTGACTTTTTAGAAAGCATTACTCCATAGAACGTTATGGAGCTGAGAACATACATTTAGATGCATGAGGTCAGAACCAGCCTTGCTAATTCTGTGAGTGGTGGAGAGAACTGGTGTTCCTTTCTGATCGGCTGGACCCAACCTTTTGTCCAACTCTGGGTGACTGGGACATGGAGTTGGGGTGAGCAGCTGTTGAAGGCAATCTCACTGATGCAGTCTTTTAGGTACGTTCTTCAGGACGTTTCCAAGCTTTAAAGCCTGAAGCCAGATCGATTTTTACTTTGAAGGTACATTTTATGAAAAACGTGTTCCTAGCTTATTTCCTGGGAACATGGTGGACTCCCTACTGGGTCGGGGCTTCAGAAGGCAGTTTTGGAGCAACGCATACGTTGGGCAGTCATCCAAGCCCCTCTGTGAGCAGCTGTGCATCGATAGGCATATCACTTAACCAGGAGGCGCTGTTAGCCGCCTCTGGAGTTTGAACTGGAGCAGTGACTCTCAAACTTTAATACATCGAGCGGTGTTTATGTAAAAATGATGATTCATGGGACCACATCCAGGGACTCTGAGTCAGTAGGTCTAGGGAGGATTCCGAAATCTCCATCTTTAATGAGCACCCACTGAGGACCACACTTCGAGAAACACTGAACTGATGTGGAAGATTCTTTCCAACCCTAACATTCTCACATCTGTGAATTTGTCTCAAATTTGTCTTTAACAACCAGTCTTAGCCTGGCACTCCCTTGATGTCTGCCTACCCTAGAGTAACGATGCTACCAAACACAGGGAGCAGAGAGGTGACTCTGTCTCTGAATTGGGCAGCATAGAAGGCGATGGGGTTGATTGGGTTGTTGTTGCTTTGCTGGGGGAAGCTCTAACAGCCTGGTTATCTCTGATGCACAGGTGACAGGTGGAGTCTGGACTTTCAGCCGTGTATGCTGCGATGTTTTTGTCACCTTGGATGTCATGATGTGTACAGCCAGCATCCTGAACCTCTGTGCCATCAGCATAGACAGGTAGGGTTGAGATTTCCCCTTCCAGGCTCAGGAGAGAAGCGACCCAAAAGTGGGGTTGGAGAAGGCACAGGCTTGGCATTTGAGGGTATGAGGGTTCCTTCTAAGTGAAACTTGCCTCGAAGACATTGTTCTTTCCTCTCTTGTCCTTTTAAACTATGATTTGCAGGTGATATGAAACCCTGTAACAAAAGAGAAATCATTATCTTATAAACTTTTCTAGACTTTCTTCCTCAGACCTCTGAAAAGGATTTGGGTTTTGCGTTTCCATTATCCTTTGAGGGTTTTGTAATTCCTAAGTGGAAAGAAATGATAGAGTAGAACAAAAGATGAACTGATTTGGTTGGTAAGAAAATTTCCTGTTGTTTTGTTTGATACTGGTGTA